ATAAATAGGTTAAATATCCCAATTCAAAGGCAGAGATCTTCAGATTGGATTTAAAAGGCTAGAGCTAATTCCATGCTGCCTACAAGAAATGCACTTTAACTCTAAAGGCATAAGTTAAAAACAGTAGGATGGAAGGAATTTACCATGCTAACATTTGCCATTTATTTTTTTTTAAACTTTTTTTTTTTTAAAGATTTTATATATTTATTTATTCATGAGAGACAGAGCGAGAGAGAGAAGCAGAGGGAGAAGCAGGCTCCCAAGGAGCAGGAAGCCCAATGCGGGACTCGATCCCAGGACCCTGGGATCATGACCTGAGCCGAAGGCAAACGCTTAACCGTCTGAGCCACCCAGGCGCCCCTAACATTTGCCATTTAAAAAGCTGGAGTGGCTGTATTACTGTCACACAAAGTAAATTTCAGGGCAAAGAATATTACTAGGGATAAAGAAGAACATTTCATAATAATAAAGGGGTCAATTCATCAAGAAGACATAATAACCTTAAATGTTTATGCATCTAAGAATAGAGCTTTGGGCGCCTGGGTGGCTCAGTTGGTTAAGTGACTGCCTTCGGCTCAGGTCATGATCCTGGAGTCCCGGGATCGAGTCCCGCATTGGGCTCCCTGCTCGGCAGGGAGTCTGCTTCTCCCTCTCCCACTCCCCATTTGTGTTCCCTCTCTCGCTGTGTCTTTCTCTGTCAAATAAATAAATAAAATCTTAAAAAAAAAAAAAGAATAGAGCTTCAAAATAAATGAGACAAACATGGACAGAATTGTAAGAAGAAACAAACAAATCTGTAATGATAGTCAGAGATTACGATACTTCTCTCTCAATAATTGCTAGGAAGTCCTTAAGTTTTTGGATGATTTCAACAATACTACCAACCAACTTAATTTAATTGACATTTATAGAAAATAAGCCAACAAGGGAGAGAAAATGGAATCCTAAAACTATTCAATTAGGTCAGTAGTAGTAGTCTTGTTTGAGAGTCTGTGCCAATCTGAGTGGTGTTTTAGAGATTTGCAGGGAGGAGAGAGAAGTGTGATAGTTTTGAAGAACAAGAGGTCTAGAGTAGTGGCACAGCTAAGAACATGGAAGAGGAGAGGGGATTTTTAAGAAGCATGGCTGAGACTTATAAACTGTATCCCCTTCAAGTTTCGTTGAAGCATAACAGGGAAATCAGATTTGCTGTAAATTACTCTGGGTTGGTGTACTGTGGTTCATTAACTGAATCCAGAGTGGACTCACGGGAGCTCTGTATTTCATTCAAGTTTTGGGTCCTTTGTTAGAATAACACAATTCTAGACCCAGCTCCAATGTATAATCTCATTTGGGCAAGTCTGTTCACCACTCCACATCTGTTTCCCTATGTGTAAAGTGGGATTCATTCATTCACTTATTCATTTACACACGAATAGGCTAATTTATTAGACTTTTACTACATGGCAGGCCCTGTAAGAGCTACTTTGAACAAGGGATACAAATGTCCCTGGTGACAAGGAACTCACAGTCCAAGGGGGAAGAGAGATGACAAACCAATAAATAAAGAAATATGTGATGTGTGAGATGATGATAAGTGCTCTCCTGAAAATAAAGCAGAGTAAGAGAAAGAGAGAGGACACACGTGGGCTAGGAAAGGAAGGCATTTTGATATGGTACAGAGACATGCAGAAATCAGGTGAGCCATGTAGAAAGCTGGGTGGAGAAGAAGAGGCATCCAAGGCAGAGGGAAGAGTGGGGACAAGGGCCCTGAGGTGCAGGTGCACTTGGAGTCTTTGGGGAAGAACAAGGAGGCCAATGTGGCTGGAGGAGTGATCAAGGTCAGGTAGGCAGTGGAGTCTTATAGCCATGGTAACAACAATGGGTTATACTCTGAGATGGGGGATCATTAGAGGTTTTCCAGCATTGGAGTGGCATGATCTAACTTGTGTGTTAAAAAAATTACTCTTGCTTCATGGTGGGAAACAGACTACAGGGAAGCAAGGACAGCAGTAGGGGGCCTGCTTACAGAGTAAGGGCACACATGAAGGGGAAGAGGGATGGAAGCTTGGATCCAAATGGTGATACAGTGGTGATGAGGAGAGGCTGAACTCTAGGTTTATCTTGAAGGTGCAGTGAACAGAATTTGCTGATGGATGAGATGAAGAGCAAAAGCAAAAGAGAAATGTCCAAGATGACCCCAAGGTTCTTGGTCTGAGCAACTGGGTGAAGGAAGAGGCCATGTATTAATATGGGAGGATAATGATACCTAGTCCCTGTGAGGCTATTTCAAGGATAAAATGAGAAAGTGCATGTGAATACACTTGCTGAGCTTGAAAACACCATTCGGATGTAAAATATGAAAAATTACTCTCCGAGGACTTGCTCCTTGTCAATAGGCCCAGATCCTAATGTCTTAAGGCCAGAAAGTAGTGTTGACTTTCTCAATAACATTTTTCTGTTCAGTAAGGAAAGTTATTCTGAGTGGTCCAGTGGTTCATTCAAGGAACCACAGTCCGCCAACAAGGACTCATTCACAGTAATTCTGATTTTCCTTTTACGTTTTGGTAAACATGAAAGAAGATAAAATTTATAACCTCAGCCATGCATTTTAATTCCCTTCTCTCTACTATTCTTTAAGCTCTAACACTATTTTGATATTTCTCTCCTTCTTCCCCACACAATAGGGCCCAATAAAGCTATTTTAACTTTAAATGAAAAAAAATTGCAGTCCATAATAAACATTTTTATTTTCCTTGAGTCACCCCTTGCACAACTAATGCTGTGCATGCCTGATTTAGGCCACATTGGGTCTGACAATGTGAGTAAGAAAGCTATTGGCTACTTCTCAGGGCTCCCGTAGGCCTTCCTTGTTATTTCCTGGCAGAGGGGTGATTTTTACATGGCAGGCTAGTAATATGAAATAGCGATATAAGCTGTCAGAAGGGAGTTACATATTTCTTCTGTCATCTGTAGGGTCAAGGTAGCCTGAAATGTCTCAATAATTTTACAAATGAATCAACAGAAAAATCAGTGAATTCAGATCAGTCAGTTCAGTTTCCAACAGAGTAAATGAAGAGAACGTGGGAAATGGGAATGTGTCCCATGGAAAAATTAATACCCATGTAAAGTATGCTGTGGGGATTGAATGTGGGAGTACTTGGAAAACTCCTAGTTTGGTGCTTCAAAGGGGCTGAGAAGGTGGGTTCAGCTACTGATCCTTGAAGGAAGTTTAAAAAGACTGAACTTTTGAGGACAGACACATTCAATCATATTTTTGTTCGGTCTCTCTCTGGTCTGTCCTACCCTCCTCATTTCTCTCTCTCTTGTCTCCTTCCATCCTGCCCACTCACACTCTGGTTCCTTTAGCAAATAGTTACTGAGTATTTATGAGCCAATATTTTGCTAAAGATGCAGAATCTTTTCCTGTGTGCTATAGAGACCTAAAAGAATTCTCAAACCCATTGTCTTGAAACTGGAATGTTAACATCAAGGGGGAAGAAATATGGGGGAGAAATTCCACTTAACATTTTTGGAATATATGCCAGGAGTATGATAACAAAGAGGAAAAGCTGACTTCACAAACATTTCATGAGATATCTTCGTGAGATGCTAACTTGATTGAAGAGAAGCTGGCTGCCCTTCATCACGAACGGTAGAAAAAAGACTACATGTGTAGCAAGGGTCTAGCTCACTCTCCCATGGCCTTCCCATGGCCACAGGCAGAAGAGTTTTGGCATAATCCCATCTCAGGCTCTGGGAATAGTTTGGCTTCAAGATAATGCCATGCAAATTCTCTAAGTCCATGCCATAGCTCAGGTTCAGTACTGGCCCTCCAGCTTGTTGGGAGACCTTTTCTTTTCTGGAGTTCCCCATGCCTGAGGCCTCCAGTGCCTTGACTGGGAGGTATCTATCTTTCTCTAGAACCTTGAGTGTTCCATGTTCCCTACAACTCCAAGGCACCAAAGCTGGAATGCTGTTCTTTTTCCCCAGCCACATGTTGCTGTGGTCTGCTCATTTGCTGGGGCGTGTACTTCCTGTCCTGACTGCTCCCTCCTGGAACTGTTTAAAGTCTCTATTTAAATCTGTCTTAATCAGTGGCTAGTCCCTGGTGTTGGGTTTTTGCATTCCCCAAGCCTCGAGCACATAACCAATTCTCAGTTTTCATGTCAATTTTATCATTTTAAACCATCTCATAAATGCACACACCCCAAGAGAATTGAGACGTATTTACTGACCAGAAGGGTTAAGCAGAATGGCAATCGGTACCTGCAGAACCCCTGAAAAACAATCCATTCCCTTCCACTGGTTAGATATCCCGCCCCATTCAGAGTTATATGGCCCAACTTCTCTCTAAGTGACACATTCACATTTACTGTGATGGTGGGGTCCAAGCAGTTTAATAGACCATGGCATATACCCTGTTGTCAATAAACAATTTCTGTAAAAATCATTGATCTGTGAAATAAAACTTATTTTACTTATTTTATGCTACTTGAAATCACTTAATTGCTCATGTCTCTCAACCTTAAGAAACTGAAGGTGATCATAAATTTTCTATGTTTTGGTCATTTATTTAAAGACTACACTAAACACTAACACTGATTCAATGTGAATTGAACGTTCGAATGTCGCCTATGGTACCTGCTCACGTCTCTTGGATGTGGCTGTTCATGAAGGTGAAATTGGATGATTCATATAGTCTGAAAGATCTAGATGCCACTGAAAAGGTACATAAAGCCAATAAAACCTCCTAAACCGGAACCACCCAGCATGCTTCTGGGAACATTTTGAATTGTACTGGAAATCCTATTAGAAAAGAAGGAAATTATTCTATCTTGACAGCACAAATACACATACAGTAATCATAAGAATTGAGGAAGCTTATAGTAATCTCTCATGAATCCTTTATATTTCCTTCCATGTACTTCTCTGAAGATCAGTTTTTCTTTTTAGAAATTATTTTAGAAAATATGGATGGAGATTTCTCTAAAACTCCCACTCGGAGAAGAAACACTTACCCAGAATGCTTCATGTTCTGAGGCTTATCCATTCGGACAGCAAGTTTGATTTTGAGGTCTTGATCGGGGCAGTTTTTGGAGACTGTCATTTTGTGCCACTCTGACTGTTTGGGGCTGTTTGGGGTGGGATGGAGAATAACCTGTAGGGAAAAAGGACAACCATCTTAGCCAGAAAATGGAAACCTGGTCATGGGCATGTTTTTAATCAATGAGAAACTTTGCTGCTGAGAAGCTGAGTGTCTTGTCCAGCTCCCATAGCTGGCAGGCATTTAAATAAAGCAAAGCCTGGCCGCTGGACTCCAATCCAAGGCTCTGACTACCAACTGTGGTTGCCTCGTACCAAGCAGACCAGCTCGAGGACAGAAATGGTATTCTCTTGCTCTCTTCTCTCTCCCCTGGCTAATTCAGCAAAAGTCAGGATCATGGTTTCTGTGATTCTGCTTTTGCATTTTCCTAAAATTCAGAAGTCCTAACGCAACCCAGAACAGACAATGTTCACACACGATTCTCTCCCTGTAAGAAGATAGATGTATGAAAGGAAGAAATATCCTTACACATTAGGGCACCTCTCGTCCGCTCATCTTTCTACTCCTCAGGATTCCTTCTCCTGTTTCAGGAGGAGACATCCCTCAAAGGACACAGGGGAAAATGGAAGGGACTTTATGTGAGACCTACGGAAGGGAAGGGTCTTGCTGACACTCACACATTTGCACACCATTTCACCAGGACTTGACATCTCTGTCACAAAACACCCAGCTCTGTCTTGGCTTGAAAGGAAGCACACACAGCAGGAAGGATGGGCTCTTTGAAAGTGTCTTTCACTCTATGCTTCAGATATGCTACTCTCAATGTGGGTCTCCTGCTTGGTTCTCACTGCCTCCAGGGCCAGAAGCGAGGCAAAGATTTATGGATAACTCAGCACATCCCCTTCTTCATTTTGCCACCCGAGTTCTCAGGAGCCACATGGGATCCGAGGAACATGCACTCAGGCAGGAGCGAACTATCTGGAAAATCCCCTAAGCTGAGGGAACAGGCACTAAATATAGGCACAACGAAAGCTGGGCTTGCTAAGATTTGCTTTTGTGGTGGCAGCGTGCCCTGCTTTGTTGCACGTGGGCTTTGGCTCTGTTTTCACAGCATCTATTTTCTCTAGGTGCAGGGGAAGGCAGCCTCTCTCCTGGGCTGCTTGCACCTCTGCAGGGGGACGGGAGGGGCTTAGAGTCTCAGAGGCAGATACAGCCTTCCAGATGCTGTCAGCCTCACCGTCCGCCTGTAAGCCTGGCTCGTAGGGAGGGTGGGAGCCGATGGCTTCCCGCGAGGTGGCGCAATGAGAGCTCAGGAAGAGTGGGAGAGCTGGGCGGAAACACAAAATCGGCCCCCTCTGACGGGTCTTGTTTGTGCTGATTTTTCACCCCTTCTCATTCCAGGCCTGAATTCCCTCTCTCTGATGAAAGAAAATAGATCATTTTTGCTAAATGCAAAATTTGAGTCTTCTCAATGTCTTATGGCATGATTGAAATAGGAGGCCCGATTTTTTAGACTGGAGGCTGCCAAAGATTTTTTGATCATGCCCTATGCCAGTAAAATATGTTGAGCCAATAGCCCAATTTCTGTAAATATACTGCTATCGATATAAAAATATATGACCATCAATATACAAATATATAAATATCATTATTTATATGTTATATAAATATATATCATTATATTTATATTTTATATATTTATATTATATACACTTACTTTGTATTAATATATTACATTGTTACATGTAGCATAACATATACACAAATAAAGAAGTCTTAAAGATGAGCTAAAGATAAAAAGCTATATTTTTAAGTATCTTGCTAATTGTGGTGGCTTTATACTATTATTAGCCATATTTTAAGGTACCCCATATATTTAGGGCAAGGCTTACTGTTCATGATACTGGAAGTAAATCTGTAGCTCAAGTAGTCTTGTAAATCATTTCAGAATCTCTTGACTGACATCTATCCTATCTGATTACTTTGGCAGTGATTTTATCTCACGATGCGGATGACAGCACGCCTGCTTAGCAGGATGGGTGTCAGCTCCACCATTTTTGCGCTGTTTGCCAGGCTTGCAATACTAGTAGCATCCTGAGATTATAGCACTTTTGTAGTAATATTTGCAGGCCATTTATTCATTCTGTGAGGGTTAATTTCATTAAAATTCTATCATCAAATGGATCAACTGACATAAATGGTACCAGCAAAGTGTAGTATGTTGTAGGATGCTGGAGGCAAGTAAGTCAGGGTGCCGCTGGGCAACAGAGACCCTTCCCTCCCCTCAAGAGAATGCCTGTCCCTATATGTCACTCTATATGGTGTTCTATTTCCTGGGACCCCAGCTTTGGGGAGATGAAGAGAAGGACGCTGCTGATCCCAGGGAAGCTGACCCTCTTTCCTCAGCTAGTTTGGCCTGAGGGGTGAGGGGGGGTGATGTGCTGGGAACCAATGAGGAGGAGGGACTGGTAAGAGAAAGCCCAGCCAGGGCCAGAACAGCAGCAGGCAAGGCCCTGAGCCTCCTTCTGCTCCTGCCCATTTGGCAAAATCAAAGCAGGAGCAGTGCTCTGGGCACCCGGAGCTCGTTAACAGGCCTTCCACCATATGGATTCTGGGCGTGTTTCCCACTGGCAATATGGTGTCCATTCGCCGACACAAATGACCACAGCTCATTACTGGCCCCTCCACAAAGACTTCTTCTTCCACATGGTGGCTCCCCAGGGAGACTTCCTCTCCGGGGTAGATGGAGAGATGAGGTCACTGCAGTTCTCCTCCATCTTCATCTCCACCCTGCCATGTGCCTGACAGGTTGACGACTCCTTTGTATGTGTCAGCCCTGCTGAATTATTAGGGTCCTCCTGGGTGCACATGAGCCCTAAGCAGTCCAGACACCTCATCTGGACATTCCAGGCTGCTAATCAAGCACTTTGTCATCTCAGCCGAGGCCCATGTATGCTGTGCTTTGATGTGGTGATGCTGATGTGGGAACACAACCCACTCTGTGCAGCGAGCTGCATGCCAGCCAGCCCCAGCTTCTCTTTGTTACCTGGGCGCATAGGCAGGTCCTTCTGAGGGGCTGCTTTACCCTGAGGCTTTACCTGACTGATCCTCTCCAAGCCTTAGCCTATATATCCTTCTCTGCATCCACCTCAGACCCGGGGAAGGCATTCCTGACGATCAGACTGGGTTATGTCCGCTGGCTATGTGCTCCCAGGTGTTCTTTCTCTAGAGACCACTTACCACATAGCACTATAATTCCGTTTTTATGTCTATATCCCTTAAGTTTTTTGAAGTCAGAGCTTTTTGCCTGTCATTATTTCTGTTTGCTCTCTGCATGCCACAAATGATGGGACACCATGGGCTCACAATCCTATCCCATGAATAGAAGTTTGATAATATTACAGTATTTGTAAGCATGTAGAGAAACAGTCACTTATGCCTTTTGTGGAAATATCAATTGGTGTATACTCTTCAAGGGACAATTTGGTAGTATCTGTCAAAATTCAAATTTCATTCAGCAAAACGTTTTTTTTTGAAAACTATCCTACATATACACACACACACATGTGCAAAGAAATAAATTCAAGGCTATTCACTGAAGCATTGTTTATGCAGCCAAAGACTGGAAACAATCTAAATATATTATGATCCATCTATACATGGAATATTACACAGCTATGAAAACAGGAAGCACGTCAGCATGGGCTGACATGGACTAATCTCCGAATATACTGATACTTCAAGCAAAGTGCAAAGCAGTATGTATACAGTAACTTCCAGCTGTGCGCTTTCTTTCTTCTCTCTTTTCTTTCTTTCTTTCTTTCTTTCTTTCTTTCTTTCTTTCTTTCTTTCTTTCTTTCTTTCTTTCTTTCTTTCTTTCGTGGGATGTATATACATACATATGCTTGTACATGCTATGCTTGTACATGCATAGAATACTGGGTGAAGAATACACAATAAACTGAAAACAAGGTTTTTCTCTGTAAAAGATACTAGGGCAAGGTGGGAAGAATCATTCATTTTCACTAATACCCATTAAAAAAATTTTTTTTGCAGCACATGAATTATTTTTTCAATTAAAAAGTTGATTAAAAGGAAGCATAATGAATATAGAACAAACTAGATATTGTTGAATGAATGAATGTAGCACTGGGATTTTAAATGTGGCTGTGTCCTGCTAAGCTTGGGAACAATTAGAGCATAGAAATACTCCCTCAGGGATACAAGAAATTGCTTCATTTTAAAACAGAAAGCAGTCCTCGCCAGCAGCAGCGTGCGGAGGGGCCTCCAGCAGAGGGCGGCCCAGCGGGCATGTGGACCACACAGGCAGGTTCCACGGCAACTGGTGGAAAGCTTCTTTGGTAGGAAGAGTAAATTCTTTTTTTTTTAAATTTTTTTATTGTTATGTTAATCGCCATACATTACATCATTAGTTTTTGACGTAGTGTTTCATGACTCATTGTTTGTGCATAACACCCAGTGCTCCATGCAGAACGTGCCCTCTTTAATCACCAGGCTAACCCATCCTCCCACCCCCTCCCCTCCAGAACCCTCAGTTTGTTTTTCAGAGTCCATAGTCTCTCATGGTTCGTCTCCCCCTCCGATTTCCCCCCGGAAGAGTAAATTCTTATCTGGGGAAATAGGTAATGGGGCTGGAGGAGAGAATGAGTTCTTCAGAAACGAAAAACTGTATGGGGCTGTGGCAAGCCCGTGGCCTTCACCACAGCAGCAGAGCTGAGGGTTTCATTTCTGCATAGGGACAAAGTGGTACAGTGGAAATGGTCCTGGAGATGAGCCAACATCATTCCTGGCACGTTACTTGCCTCCTCTGGGCCCCAGTGCACTCATCTGGGCAGGATGAGTAATAACTAATTAGGGTTATCATGGAGCATCAGGGAGGGGGCTACACAGCGTCCTCAGGGATGGGCACACATACAGCGCCTGGGCACCACCCTCACTGGGTGGCTCTGGGGGAGCTTCCTGCCTTCCATGGGAATCTGTTTTCTCATTTATAAAATAAAAAGGTTTGACTAGCTCAGAGGGCTTAACTTTCCTGAGTGGAAACAGCTTTGAGAAGTTGGTGAATGCTTTGGACTCGTGAGTCCAGAAAAACGCACATATGCCCCTCCCCACCTCAACAGTTTGCAAACCATTTCAAGGGGTTCCTGGATTCCATGGAACCTTCTGCGGACTCAGGCTGAGCACTCCTGGACTCGCCTCTTCTAACACTAATATCCTGGTCTACATCCTAGTAATATGATTCTGGGTCAGCTCTATAGATGAAAGCCAGATCAAGTGGGCACGAAAGGACGAAAGAAGAAAGCCTGCTTACCGTGTTCTTGCTGGCCTTGTTAGGGCTGTGTGCCTATGCACTTGTTCTCACATTATTCCACTGATGACACACCAGGGGCTTAGAGAGGCTGAACGCTTGGCTGAGGTCAGACAGCTTTCGGAAGGGATTATGCAACCAACCAGTATGGAATGAAATGTATTGGGAGTCTCTGTGCTGGGGTCGGGGTATGGGGTAGTGAACGGAATAGTTTAGGGTTCTATGCCCATGGGGTTTTCGTAGTCCAGTGTGAGAGACAGAAGCCAAAATTTCTGTAAATTCTTCTTTCTTTCTCTCATTGGTGATCAAGTTTAGTGGACGGGTGGCTGGGGTAGTGAATGAAGGAAGATGGGCAGTCAGGAAGGGGCTCTCTGAGGAAGCAGCATGTATGTAAGGAAGGAGGCAGCCTTTTGAAGAGCTGGGTAGTGGGGACCGCTCCAGGCAGGGAGAAAGTCCTCCAATGCAGGAAGGAGTGGTTTATTCGGTGGACTAAGATTTGGCCCCGATACTGATGCATAGTGGATGAGGGGAAAGGTAGCAACAAAAGAGGCCGAGGAGGTGGGCAGACACCAGATCATATGCATCCTTGTAGGCGGTGCTACCGAGTTCCAATTTTATTGTAAGCACTGTGGAGTGATGGAAGCATCTGAAGCCAGTAAATCTAAGTTACATTCTGAAGAGATGGGCTGCCTGGTGCAGAGTCAATGGCTGAGAAGTAAAAAGAAATGTCTTTATTATCTCAGTGGTACTCAAAGGGACTGGTACCACACTTTGGGATGCTTCAGAAATTTGGGGGACAATTTTGGTCGACAAAATAATGGTGCTGGGCTCTGTTGGTATTGAATGGCTGGGGCCCAGGGATACTACACGTCATGCAGTGAATGAGATGTTCCTCCCCAGTGAGGAATCGTCCTGCATCTCACCCGACTTCTGAATATTCCCACCGGGTGGGAATGGAGGTGGAAAAGCCTGTTTATAACGAACTGAGTCTAGATCTTAAATCTTCTTTACATATTGTTAAAAAGAAAACCACAGGCATCAAATGGTGTTACTTGTTCCCAAACCGGTGCTCAGGATATAATCTAACTGCAGTTTCAACCCCCCCAGAAATGTAGTCTTAATGGCTCAGTCAGGAAGTTTTCGGTCAGGGCTGGTGAGTCCGCTACTTGGGCCCTCTCCATTCCCCAAAGAGAGATGGGGTCATCTGTGTGATAAGACCCCTCACTTTTCCCCCTAAAGGAAAGCCACCTTGCCTAAAACAATCCTTTTCTTCTGGTGGTAATTTCTTCCCCCTCATCCTTCTGCAGAAACCTTGGTTTTCATACATCTTCTTGGCGCTCCCTCTACTTGCAGATGGGATCCTGCCTGATTCATGGATCATTTAATAAGCCAATTAGATCTTTAAACTTCACTACATTGAATTTTTGTAATTTGGAACAATATACACTCAAAGTATTTTTGGCACTTTTCCAGGGAAATTGAGGAAACCGTGTTACCAAGACTTGTGGGCGGTTTGAAGAAATCAGTTTACTGACATTTAAGCTTCGGAGCTTCTCCCTTCCATGGCGGGTTTTGTCGCTGTGACCTTCAGAGTGGTCCCCTATGTCGGAACAAGGACAGCGTTCCTTCTTTAGGTCTTCTAGTGCAGTTGTGCCTGAATCTTTACATTTTGAAGTTATTTTATTATTAATTAATTCCCTTTTATTTCTTCTTCATATTATGTCATTGTACTGATTTTTAAATTGTTAGGTGGGTCTGCTTGTTAAATTATTCCAAGAATTTCACTGCAGGATGGGAAGGGCTATTGCAACTCTTTGCTCTACAGGGTGTCTGGGTCTGAGGGTGCAGAGAACCCCTGCTGTATCTTCTGCAGGGTGCACTATTGGTAGCCCAGATTTAAGAGGAGAAATGGAGGGTGGAGAGATTGAGGGACTTGCCCAAGGTCACACAGTCAATGGAGATTAGAGCTTGTGGATTCAAACCCAAAGCTGGACCTTTCAGTACTTGGCAGTGCTGCCTCTTGGGACCTGGGGACACAGCTCTCTGGAGCTCCTTGTGATGGGCAGCGCTTACCCGTCCGAGCTCCTTGTCCTCCAAGGCCAGGACCCCTGTGCTCTCTGTGAACAGTTTCACCTTCACAGCTGGCAGTGCGTGGGTCGTCGAGAAGTCACCCTGGGTGCCCCAGCTGCGGACAGAATCAGAAAGGTCAGTGCGGAGCCCTCTGCCTTGACAATGCTAAATGCAGCTGCCTTCCTCCCGAGTAGGGGGAATGCAGGGTTAACCCAAGGCAGCATTGGCTGTCACATCCCCCTCCCCTTGCCTCCCCTCCAAAGCTGCTGGAGTGATAAAAAGTGTTAATTAACTTGTTAGGCAAATGCAAGACAGATGCTCAGAAAGTTGCCACGGGTCTTCACAGAGCACTACCAGGAATCACTTGGAATTAGTATGGAATCGAGTTGTCGAGAACTCTTCCTCGTGCATTTGCTATCCTTACAAACTATTTCAGGGTCACCACGAATATTTCCTTGTATCCTTTGAATCCCTAGTTCTTGGAAACTGCAGTTCTAGATTTTGAGATAGGGCTTCATTTGGTCAGAGCCAACATCCAACTTTAAAATGCGTTTTACAATGAATCATGGAACACTACATCAAAAACTAATGATGTAATGTATGGTGATTAACATAACATAATAATAAAAAAACAAAACAAAAAATAAAATATGTTTTAAAATACGTCAGTCGTTTTGGGGAGGCGGGGGGCCCCATTTCCTCTGGCATTCAAAGATGAGTTGAATAGAGTAATGGACGGAGCTCAAAGGAGTGGAAGGTAGAAGGAGGAGAAGTGGGAAATGCCCTTTCCTACTTGTCTGTGGAAATCTGAGTCTTAGATCTCCTCAGAGCAGAGCCTGGCTTAACCAGCTTCCGGGTGGGGTGCTAGCCGGGGTGGACACGAGCCACCGATGGGTCCCTCAGACAGGGCCTTTTCCTCTACTCATCATTGTTATCACAGAGCCCTACCATCCGTTCTGTACCTACAGTCAGTGCGATCTTCCAGAAGTGTCCACTGGATTGCACTGAGCCCCCAGGGTGCAATCCAGACCCACTGCGTGTAGTCTCCCACTCGTCTGCTCCTAACTATGCCACCTCAGGGCCCCTGCATGCATGCTTCCCTCTGTTGGCAATGCTTCTCCCCACCTGGCTACCTCTTCAGAGCTCAGCTTCAATAACACTTTCCCATCCCTGGTCTCCCAGTCTAAATGTGGTCTGGTGTTAAATTCTCTGGAACATACTGTTTAATGTTCTGTCCTAGCAATCACTGGATTTGTAATTACTTATTTCTGTGTGATTATTCAATAGCTGAATCCTCTGACTGGATATTTTTTGCTTATGTTGCATACTTAGCATAGTGCTTAGCACATAGAAGACACTTAAGAAATATTTGGTGAATAAATAAGTGATGCCAAATATACATTCTTTTACAGAACTAGGAAACAGGATAGATATAATTTTGTATAGAGGTTTTTTTTTTTTTCATTTAGCCTTATATGATGGCCAACATCCATACTGTAAAATATACATTATAATATTATTTTTAATGACCCTATAATATAATTCCTTATAGGTACATCATAATTTATTTAACCATTGTTCTATTATTGAGATGGGGCTGGACATGACTTTTTAAACTTCATCTTTGATTATTTCCTTGGGAAATATCAATAAACATTATACTGCTCTTAAAATGCTGCAGGAATTCTGCTCATCAATGAACAAAGTCTTGGGATACCGATTCCCAAAAAACTTTCCACAAAGGTGGCAACCATCGTCCCAGCATCTGGGAATGAGCGCGAATCACAGTGCTTCTTGCCTTCAAGGGATGCCCCTATTCACTTTTTCTTCTGGCTTACTTTGTCTTTGGTGTTTTCATGGGCATTTGTTTGACTAATAGCATGCTTGAATGTATTACTCTGCTTGTTGGTTGTATTTCTACTTCTGTGAATGATAGAAATGAATTCTAGTCTCCATGTTGCACTCAAATAAATCCTGTTGACTAAACTCAAAGGCATGAGGAATCTAGAGAAAGTTGACAAGATAGCACCAGAAAAGTGGAGGTAAGGAGGAGCCCAGATTGGAAGCCAAGGGATAAAAAGTCATTGAGGAAAACCCAATAGTCATGACTGAGAAAGGGAGAAGATATGCAAAAAGACAGAACAAGAAGCAACAGGTTCCAAACACAACAGCACAATGTTAGATGTACAGATAGAAGCTCCTAATTTTGGTCACCAGCTACTGCAGAAAACTCCTAAGACAGGGAATCAATTTATTAGCAAAAGCAACATGACAAAGTATAGGGTTTTGAATCAGACACCTTTACTTCAAATTCTGGTTAGTCACTTATGAACGGTAGGACTTGGGGCAAGTAATTAATGTCCCTGTACCTCAGTGTGCTCAGCTCTAAAATTTCAGAGTAGTGACATAATAAAGATAAATAAAAATAAGATAAAGATAAATAAATAAAAGGATAAAAAATAAAAAGTAAATAGTAACAGGCTTGAAAGAGCATGAGAACCCAACAAAATTTGGCTACCTTCTCTCCCCCAAATAAGGATATGTAAGATATATTCTAGTAACTGTGATGATCACTTCTATTTTGTGTTATCCATTCAACACGTATTAAGAATCTATGACATTGCCTTCCTACTACACAGTGTAAGTAGTAAAATAGTTATCATCCCCATTTCACAGATAAGAAAACTGAGAAGAAACTCAAGATCTTGTCCGTTTTACTCCCGTGAATTTTGACCAAGCTGGCTAGAACCCAAATCCCTTAATTCCCATGTTACAGCTTTCCCTGCTAATACTGTCATAATTATCAATAACAAGCATTATTAATAATTAGCAATATTGGCAAAAACCATGATCATTCATTTATTCTTTGTGATGAATTGTGCTATTAATCTCTTTGGGCATTTATCATGATTGGTCATGGAGATGAGGAAGATTCCTTCTGGAAATCAAAAGAGTTCTGGAATGAGATGCATTAACACCAAGCCACAAAGAGGCCTTGATTTCAGTGCCCCCCGGGGCCCCCCCACACTGTATCTCTATGATACTGTTGTTGGAACTGGTTTGCTGCTACCCAAGGATGCTCAGCTCATCAGGCATTCAACGTGACTCAGACTGTAGGGCAGAGTGAGCCCTCCACCCTGTCAGTTGGATGCAATTCAAGCTACTGGAGGCTGCCCTGACCACCCAGTCCATTTGGACACTGAGTGGCTTTTCCTTTCCCCCAGATCTGCAGCTGTGCTTTTGGCTTCCCACCATGACCCTTGGCTCACCTCAAGTTTTTAGGTCACTGCTGAATCCCAATTTATCCATCAGATTTCAAAATGGCAGGCTGGCCCAGTGAAGCAGGCAAAAAGAGAAAAGTCTCCAGTCTAATCAGGTTGGGCTATGTCATTTCAAGGCCTGTGCAAAATGAAAATGTGGGGCTTCTTCTTCAAAAAGCAGGAGAAAGTGCTACTAAGGGTACTGAAATATAGAGTCTTTCTCTTTTTCAGAGTAGTTCTGCTCAAATGCATGCTCCATTGTTCCATCAAACTTCACTTAACAAACAGGGTGAAGGGTAAAATAATTAAGAATTTCAAGATGGCAATGCAGAGCATTAAACCAAACAGAGGTCTGAGCGTAGGACCTGTGTAGTTGCATGAGTCATAAGCTCACAAATAAGGATCTGGGTTCAATGACACCCAGTCTGTTTAGCTGGGACTGAGGATGGGTGATGCAGTGGAAATGGGCTGTCACTGGTGTTGACATGAAACTTCACCCTTCACTGTAGTCCTTGGACTTTGTAAAAGAACGACTCCTGACTTCTTTTTGTAGATGCTTCCTATTCGTAGAAGACCCAGGGAGATTTAATTATAAGTACTGTTTCCTGTCCCTTTCCCCTTTGAAAAAAAAAAAAGTCATGGAAATGTCCACTCTGTCTTTTTCCAGCCACAGAGAGACCTGACTATCTTTACAACAAACAGCTAATATTTATTCAGAGATTACTATGTGCTAGGCACAAATTCCTCCCTCAAAAGTGTCACTCAGACATACATGCATTTCATTTTTTTACGTCCTCTTGGCCATCCTGTGAAAAGCTTATAATGGTTACTCTCACAGTTACAGACAAGACAGACTCAGACAGGCTATAATGTGTCCAGGATCACACACAGGGAGCAAATGGCAGTCTGATTTCATGACCCAAACTCAACCATGGCACCATATGGCCTTCCTTTCACGTTCCACCAACTCACTGCTCTGTGTCTTGATCCAGTTAAATCAGTTATGTTTGTAACTGTACTTTTGCCAAGCCTTGGCCTTTTGGTGGGGCCACACATCATTCAATGAATCTATTTCTCAATGTTGCATTCTTCTCTGCTCATTTCTTTTGCTTTGCTGTGCACTGAGACTGTGGTTATTAAGGTGGATACTTCTTCTTAAAAGTTCCCCAGAACTGAAATACAATTGTAGTTTGATTTGAGAAGACCAGAGGTTGATAATATTTATTGCAAGCAGCAGTTGGAGAGGTTAACAAACTTCTCTCTGAACGCAGGTAGATAAAGTGGGTGAGGTCTCCCTTTTGTGTGACCTCATCATATCTGCCACTATAATCACACCATAGAGCTAGCTCACAGAAAAGCTAAAAATAGTCACCAATTAGCAAGTGCTTAAATTTTGCCATCCCGGGCTGAGGGCTTTTCATGGATTATCTCGTTTAATCCTTCTGACTGCTCTTATGAGGTATATTCTGTTATTATCCCCATTTTAAAATGGAGAAACTAGGACTTGGGGAGGTTAAGTAACTGGACCAGGGTTTCAGACTCTCACAGAGCCATGCTTTAAACGCCTAGGGTTTTTGACTGCAGAGCCCATGCATGAAACCATAGAGCTTCACTGCCTCTCAGTAACACATAACACTGTATCATAGTGTAGTCTGACAATTATCTGTGTGTGTATCTAGCTCTCTCTCTAGATAATGTACGCCTTGGGAGCAGGGAGCATGGCATAATTTATTATATTTAATTAATCTCCTGCACCAAGCACAGGACCTGGCACACAACAAATACTTACTTAATGACTAGGAAGAAGTGACAAATTCAGAATAATCATGTCACCAAATTCAGGGGATTATGGGGA